AAGACAACAGAAGTGTAAGAAAAGAAATTAAGTGGTAGTTACTCACATTTTGATAAACATTCTACTAATTAGACCAAATTCGTGTGCCAATTTGTGTACAATTCGCGTGTGCCAAAATATAATAATTCTCTGATTAAATTAAAGCCATGAACAGACCCTATAAAACCTACTGTTTTCGGTAAACTGTAGCCAGTATATTGCACCAAACACCGAACNAATAATAATAATAATAATAATAATGATAATAATAAGATGATGATGATGATAAGCACTGCTGCATGTCGACTTTTTGTACTAAAACCAGACGGACTCTACACAATCCAATTGCTATCAAAAGTTTATGTCGATCCGGCTGTTGATGAATGTCTGTCTGCAAGACAGACTGCTCATTGATTGTTTTTATTATTATCAGAGCACTTAATACGCAAATAGGCAGTCAGGCTATGTACTAAGATTTGATATCTCCTAATGACTGGTCGTATTTCAGGTAGTTTATGTAAGTCTTTAACTCTGGTTTCACTTAAGGGTTTTTTAAGCTGTATATCGTTTACAAATTGAGCACTTCTAAAATCATAATGACATCCATGGAGGTTTTTCATTTTTTTTATTAATTTTTTTTTTTCAGTTTGATAATTACCTTCGCCAAGGTCAGAAATTGCTTTCCTTTTTAGTGCTTTTTAAATCCGTTAAAAGTATAATAAGGGGGGAAATTGGTTTTAAAGAAGACAACAGAAGTGTAAGAAAAGAAATTAAGTGGTAGTTACTCACATTTTGATAAACATTCTACTAATTAGACCAAATTCGTGTGCCAATTTGTGTACAATTCGCGTGTGCCAAAATATAATAATTCTCTGATTAAATTAAAGCCATGAACAGACCCTATAAAACCTACTGTTTTCGGTAAACTGTAGCCAGTATATTGCACCAAACACCGAACAAAAAATACTTAAACACCAAACTACTGTATATTCACTATGAAGAGTTTGTCCCCGATGTTAGCCCATTGTCTACTTTTTTTGCTAGTGCTGTTTGTAAGTTTGAAGGATGTAGAGGCGGCGTTGCCGATGAGTGGCGGGAATATAAATGTCAGAAAAATACAGGTAAGGGTCGAAATTGCTCCTGAAAAGCATAACGTTGAAATCTCGCTAGATAAGAAAGATCACATAACTTCACTCCTTAGATGACCTAAATTAGTAATGGCACTTAATTTCGCGGGTACTTAATTTAGCGATCGATATTAGCGAGTTTATGGCGAGACGTAGACCCGGCAGTACTTGGCAGTACAGAAGGGACTAATAAATTTCGGGAATCAAGCGTTCTCAACTTAATTTTATTTTTCAAAAGGTCTGAACGTTTTAAAACTCTTTTTAAGATTCCAGCGCTACTCCAAATGTGAAATCTTTGCAAATTTCAGAACAAAAAAAAAACAACAAAATAGAACTTAACAGTAATCAAGTCAATAATTTTTGCATTAGTTTGTTGATACAAATCCTGTATATGTTGTTGTTGTTACATGATAATCATTTTTTATATGTGATATGAATTTTCTATATGGTTGTTTAAAGTTCGCTAGGATTTTTATTCGCGGGTCTTTTAATTAATTTTGCAACATTTTTTACAATCGAAAAAAACGCGAAATTAAGCACCATTATAAGGATACTTAACTATCGAAACCTAAACTATTCACTATTCATCAATATCAGTTTACAAGGCGTAATCTCTTCTCTCATTTTCTTTTGTTAATTTTACTTTTTCAGTCTCTCGATCGCCACTACAAAAGAAGTATTTGTCAGGCTGCACGTTCTCTTAACTGCAAAGATGACTCAGAGAGTGAGCCGGGCATGCGCCCTTTCAAGTCGTTTTGATCGAGGTTGTTCACGAATTCCAAAGCCGACCGGTCATCAAGGACCATGATGTAAACTTGTAGATTGAGTTGTTCTACTTAAAAAGACCGAAGTTAAAGTGTAATTAAAAAAGAGTGTAAAACAAGCCAGAGGGAAAATAAAGCAAAACCGTTTACTTCTGGAATTGCTGTTAAATATCTTACAGGGGGCAGCTGTGTAGCTCCGGAACATCACGCCAAATGGTGAAAAAAAAGTGCTTCTAAAATTAAATAACAAAATCACAGATCTGTAAGAATTTTTACGTATATGTAGTAGTTGATTTTTTATCTAAGATAATTTTTATTTTTCCTTTGTTTCAACTTCATTAGCATAGATAACCATACCCAAAAACAAAAGAAAAACAAAAATTAACAAAAATTTACAACAGTATAATTTTTACGTCCTAAATTACTAAACAACAATGATAAGCATAAAAGCAAACACGATCACTGCTAGTTTGCGAAAAGAAAGCCATGCCAAGATTCATGCTTAGTGCCGGCAATCCAACCCTGACCATAAACATGAAAGTATGTGGGATCTTGGTAGTAAAATATTCAACAGTTTGAAGTGATATGACTGTGAAATTAAAACTGAATACTTTTATCTATTTCGTCTACCGTTAACATCTTATTACATTCCCCACAGCTATGCAGCTAATAAAAACCCGGCCAACTTTAATCGGCAGTAATCGTTTTCAAATTTACCAAGCCTTAAGCCTTTTGTTGTGTTTACTGTCTTATCAGTGTTATCCTTTCTTCAATGTTTGAAGTGTTTGTTTTTACTTTTCGTTTAATTTGGTTGCCAGCTCCACGTATGACGGTATTTAAAATTCCGCGCGACACCGCCCTACAATCCAATTCCCTTATGAAAAAATAAAAGGCTTTGTGCATTAAGATATAGAAATCCGTCAGGTGTTCGTGTACTTCTTTTAACTTTCGTTTAAATTATTAAGAGAGTGCTTTTACCGTAATTTAGCTATAAGAGCTCATTATTCTCAAATCCTGTCAATCTAAGGGATATTACTGTAATTATCGTCAAAACTTTTAGACTATTCTGCTCAACTCTATTTTAGCAGGATGGCGTATAAATAAACACAAATTTAAAAACAGTTTATTGCCAGTACGTTTACGCCTGGCAAATTTGATGGACATTTATTGAAATAAGATAACCTATACTTTTATTGTCATGTGTAGAAAATTCGCAATGGCAACTGAAATACTTATTAATAGTATTAATAATTGATAACACCTCGCGAAGTAAGGTTTTAAGTGGCTTCACGTTTTATAGCCCAATTTTATTGATTTTAACAAGAGTAGTCGCGTTTCCAATGATGGAAACTTTAATTACTCTTTATCCGTCTCCCCTCCCTACCACGTTGTGATGACAGTTGGTTATAGTGGCGTTGCCCCACATGAGATTTCCTACATGCTCTACGTTTTTTCTCTCAGAATAACTGTACTTTTAATAATAAAGAAGAAGAAGAAGAAGAAGAAGTTTATATCCAACACTAGCTTAAAATGCTTCGTCTCTCAATGGCTGCTACTATTATCTTCTCGAACGTCTTCCGAAAAAGGCATCTTTGTCTCTGCTTTTAGCATTTCTCGACCCAAAGTAAATGTCTACTTGTTAAGTAAGAACCTTGAACGCAAAAAAATTGCCTTGTTTTGTCGCTTTTTGCATCAATTAAAATCATTACCAAGAAGGGAAATTGGCTTCCAAAAAACGCGACTAACCTGACTGAATTAGAAACAAAAACGTGTGGCCAGTCATTTGCACGTAATTGCTGTTTGATAATACTGCCTATTAAACCCCACATCAACTTGATAGTGTCTAATTTTGTTGAAAAAACGTTTTATGGGGAACTAGCTGGTTCTTCTTTCACAAATGAGACGTGAATTCTTTGTTTAAACTTGCTTTAAACCCTAGGGTCATACAACTCAACATTGCAGCCAGGAACGCACTCTCTGAGTATCGTTGAAGTCACTCCTTGATTTTAAACTGCACATTTTTGATTTTTTATCTATAGTAAACCCATCTTCCTAACTCAAATTAATTAATGCTTACGCGAGTCTTCCGTGATTGGTTAGAGACGACTCATTTACATTGAACCGTCGAGTTGTCTTGTCAAAGTGATCTTTTAACCTGAATTTTCACTATAAGGCTTGGCTGTGTTTTTCAGTCAATTCTATACTTGTCCCTGATTTGTATAAGACGTTTTGATAGTAACAGAACAAAAATACTAAATTTACAGTTTGAAATCCTAGGTTGTTGTCGATTTACAAAGGGTGTTAAGCTTCTTTATCGAAAATGATTGGCTAAAATTTTTCCATAAGATAACTACGGACGTGATCAAAAAACTCAAAGGACAAATTAAAAATGCAGTTCACAGTGCAAGGCAGAATTTAGAACAATAGTCGTTTACTTTTTAACCAACACCGGTGAATTGGGATTTATTTTATACCATTATTAAAAATATTTTAAATTACAAGTAAAAACCATCAACTGTGTGAATTCGGTAGAAAACACGGGAAATGAGCTAAGAAACAACCAAAATAACGTTAGAGGTTATTTCCTGGAAATCTAGACAAGGGGTCAAGTTAACCTTGAAATATCAAACCATGCGATATTATTTTTAAATGTAAACAAACGACTTTGTTGGAAACCCTAATTGAACTTTATTTTGCGATAAAAGGATTGTCGTGGAAGTCGTGGAAGAAGATAGAAGATATTTCTTTAAGAACGAATTCATGACAGAAGACAGGTTTATGTTGGTGATTATTTTAAACGTCGAACTTGTAATGTAATGCTAAACAACTAATAAATGAATCTTCATGCATGATACCCGACATTAAATCCCGATAAAATATTCCCTTGGTTATATTACTTATCACACAGTAACCACTGGAGAACATCCCCTTAATTGATTTTAAGCACTAGATCAGAGCTAAAATCTCCATTGCTTGCATTTTTATTGTTTAACAATTTGCATAGCAAAAAACCACTTAATTATCTGATAATAAAACGACATGAATTAGACCACATAAAACCGAATGCTGTCAACAAACTGTAGCCAGTATATTGCACTAGTACACACTTAAATCCCAGCTGTTCTTCGCAATGAAGTTTTTCTCCTCCGCAATTTTCCTGTGTGTGCTTCTGTCTCTTTTGCTGTCAGCAAATTACAAGAAGGTAGGCGCGGCCTCGATGGTGCGTCGTTATAACGCAAAGGTCTTGAAGGAACGATCTGAGGTAAAATATCATTGATTTCTAATGATAACTAAACTTTAAAACTTAAGACTCATGTACTGCGAGCATGAACTGTGGGCTCTTTTTATCTCTCTCTTAACTCTCGTTTAATAACCGGAATTAGAAACAAAAGCTATGTGGCCAGTCACTTGCAGTTTGATAATAATTCTACCAATCAGTAAACCCCATATCAACTTTACAGAGTTAATTTTGGAAGGGAAACAAAAATTTTGTTCTGAGATGACAAAACGACATGAATTAGGCCGTATAAAACCGAATGCTGTCAACAAACTGTAACCAGTATATTGCACTAGTACACGGCACACTTAAATCCCAGCTGTTCTTCGCAATGATACAGAAGTATTTCTCCTCTGCTGTTTTCCTTTTTTGCTGTTGGCAAGTTATAAGAAAGTAGACGCGGCCTCGGTCACACGTCCATATAAAGGGAATGTCTTAAAGAAAGATCTGAGGTAAATATCAGTGATTTCTGATAGCTACACTTCGAAAAACTCATGTACTGCGAGTATGAAGGATTTTACATTCGCTCTCACAGCACACTTCTCCTCCAAGACCACACCTTAAAACACTGAGCGCACAGGTAACACTACGAGCTCTGTTTAAGGATCTTTAATTTCTTAACTCTCGTATAATAAGGGCAGACCCTTCTAATAGAAGCAGATCTTTTTCTGACAGATTGAAGCTGACATATAATAAAAGTTGAAGTTTTAAATTACCTCTCAACTGGAGGACATGCGCAGTTTACCTGTTGTTCTTAGGTCAAAACTTCTTCCTTGCAATTAAACTTTGTAATTATTAAATTGAAACATTCGATTTTGCAATTCACTGGCAGGAAATTAAACTGTCTATTATCTGAGACACCTTCTAAAAGAATACAGTTGACTAGCTCTTAACGCGGACACTCTTTAAGGCCAAAACTTCGGTAAAACGGACACTTAGTCCCTGTCCTTCTCAGTATTCCCTTTAATTGACTCCCTATAAGTCGGACATCGCTCTTAGAAGCACACTTAGTACCGGCTCCAAAGGTGTCCATCTTAGGGCCATTTGACTTTATCTCACTGGAGTCATGAATCAGTAGAGGACTTGAAACTCCCTTACCAATTAACAAAAACGTATGTTAGTAGTTGTACAGACAAATGTCCACAACCTAATAAGTAACTTTTATTTATAACTATGATCATTATTATTTTACTTTCTTCCTTTTATTACCTTTTCAGACAATTCATTACCGAAGGCGAATTTGTCAGGCTGCGCGTTCCCTAAACTGTGTCAAAGAAGAAGATGAGCCCATGCAAACAGAATAGAGACAGCCTCATAGAGACGATAAAACCAGCGTTGGCCCAGGAATTCTACAAACTGTGAAACAGAGAGCTAGATAAATGTAACTTATATGCCTTAAAAAGGTCGTACATAAAATAAGATGATTGTAGTACAAGCAATAAAAATATTATCAAAGATAACAAACTCGTGAAAAAGTTACGACTCTTCTTTTTAAATAAAGAAAACTTTAAGATATTATCTGAAGTTTGCTGTCAAGTCTCTTAGCTGCGATGAGGTCATATCTCGACTTCCCTGAAAACTTTATGAAAAAACTCCCATTAATGATTTATTTAATATGCCAAGGCTTTAATATTTTCAATTAAGCAAAAGAGTGAGGTTTAGAAAGTAATTAAAACCCACAGCTGTTGCCGTGTTTTTTTAAAATCGCGTACCATACATTAGCTAAATGATCATGACTTTTCAAAGCCTAAAATTTTACAAGCCAAGACTGCGATGCTAATGAACAGAGAAGCCTGAAATATAACTAAGACTAATGACTCACTGAAACTCGTAAACATAAGCTGTCACAGCGGTTCTATTTTGATTGATAAGACTGAACTCAAAAATGCTGTAATTTCTCAATCTACGATCCGAATTAGGGCCTAAAGTCTCTGACTCGTTTAATTTTTATTGAGTTGCCATCCAAATTTTGTATTCAGTAATTACGACTCTGAGTGCATATGCATGAATATCATATGGAATTTCACTGGAAATTTGCTGCAGTTGTTATGATTTCCATAAAGTTTGATAGTGAAACAACGTCAGCGTGAATTCCATATTTTTGGGTCAAAACTGAGTAAACGTTAAAACTAAGAACGCTCCGGTCGTCATTGTTCAATTTAAACAAATCAAACAGAAACATATCAAGCGATTCTCTCACGTTTTTGTCAATTTTCGACAACACAAGCAGAAGTTGAATTTGAAAAAGGTGCGCTTAGTTTTTAGGTTGTAATCAATTTCTCCGTCCTTATGAAAGGCACGAACTACTAATCTATATACTTGGTGAAAGAATATTAGTCAAGAGTTTATTTATCTATTTATCTATTTTTATTTTTATTTTTATGAGAGGGGGGGCGATCTTTGATTCCAATGTGTGTGTGTGTGTGTGGTTTTTTTTCTCGCGTTCCTGCTCACTGACCTTAAAACAGTCCTTTTCTCGTAATTTGGCGACAAGTAAACATCGAAGAAAAAATTCATATGAGGGGTTTTCTTAAAGAGCCAATAACTAAAATTGTGTGCTCTTCAAGTTAGAAGTTATTGAAATTTCAATCTCGCTGAAAGAAAGGCTGGCGCATTATTGACATTGAACAAATTTGATGGACGTTTAATAACAATTTTCGTTGTTTTCACCTGGCAACTTAACTTTTGATTTAAGGAAAATTGAAGACACCATGATAAATGTTTGTTGATGTTAGCGATGAAAAAAAAAATATACATTTGCCATTTTATACCACTTTATTAGCTATGGCAATAATATTATTGCCTTTATCACCAGGCTCATCATCAGTACTAGATATATGTTTATTTACGTGAGATCATCCCAACCCCTGAAGACGCAGAGGATACAGAATTCAGACTCCGATACACCAACACCAACATTCTACACATAACAAAAAACAAAAGTCTCAGAAATGTTATCAGGAGCCAATATTTAAAATATATTGGTCATGTAGCCGTTGTCCAAACACTACGCTGACAAAGAAGATGCTGTTTGCGAAGTCTAGGCGTCCATACAAACGGGACTCTTGGACAAATATAGCTATATTATTAAATGTCTTCATTGAATAGGCAAAGAGATCTACACAGAATAAGAGTGGTTTCGCTGCACTGGAAAATTTCTATGCATATCTATACATGTTATATAAATCAAACTTTGTCTCCCTGTTACTTCTTAAAGTACCCTTTATTATAGCTTAGTTTACCTTTATCTTGTATATTGTGCTTTATGGGCATCGACTTATCACCACAAACTTGAATCGTATAGTCATAGTTCAGAAAAAAAAAATTGTTCGAATTCCCTTCCAAGAACCCATTTGCTACTCACACTGATCCTATATTTAACGGTTGGCAGATACTGAAGTTTTCTGAAATTTACTTGCTTTAAGTTGGAAAATTTATGTATTCTTATAACACAGGCCTTCTTCTTGATGTATTGAAACTCGGAAATGTTTCTATTGACAAATCAAGTTCATTCCTATACTACCAGAAATTCAAATACTTTCTACTTACTTCCTGTGCGATCAAATATTAGACTCTTTGGTATCAGATTTCAGGGTTCCCAAAATTCTTCAACTCCCGGTCACTAAATCACAATAAAAGTACCGCTGCTATCTCTCTTTTTAAATCCAGATTGAAAACATTTCTCCTTAGCTGATTCACCACTTGTAAATAACACTTGTTTTCTGCTGCTTTTTGTCCGTTTTGCTTGCTTCAGTTTTTACCCTAAATATATTTCAATATGATTTCGCCGCCTATTTATAGTGTTAGGTTAGGGAAGGAGCTCATGTAATAAGCACCCGCGGTTTCAATTGGGGCTTCCTTGCCTGAAAAATACCTCTAATTCTTCCACTTATGTAATTTTACGCCACTTTTAAACTTCAACTATCATGTTGAATGTCTGTATTGTTTAAGATGAACAAAAAAATCTACGTATATAGCTTCACTTATCCTAGGAGTGCTCAATGCATATATGCAGAGCGAGATATACATAAAAAGGATCAGAAGGTTAATGGATTATAGATATTTTCTGAACGGGCTAGAATAATTTTTCAGTTCTAGAGTGCTCAAATTTTTAGGAGAAAATAAATAAACTGAAACTGAAACTGGGCGTTTCATTAGTACCCGGCTTTTTGGAAAGAAATCGACAAGAGACTGCAGTTTTCTAACAATGAAAAAAATAGGCTCCCAGTGAGCTCATGAGAGTCGGTCTGCCGAGCAGAGGCCGTTGCCGGGTTCAAACTAGACTACGAGTAGTCCCCCATTTTTCCTCAGGGATAGTGGAGCGAGCGAAACGCCGAGCGCGCGTGAAAATCCCCCCACGCGAGAAAAGGCGACACGCCTAGGAGAGAGCTGTTCAATACGCTAAAAAAGGAAATTAATCTTATTCTTGACTCTGTGACTCCAAGCTCTGCCTTTGCAACGCTGATAAGTATGAAGCAAGGAGAGAAAACCCAAAAAATTGTGGCTAAATACTTATATGATCGCTTCCGCGAAAGGGATAGACGCGTTAAATATAACCTTGTTTAATAGTTGTATAAATTTTTCAAATGTACACCTCTGTAATTATTGCAAGAAAATCTTTGTTATCGTTGTAAACACATGTGTCTGTAGGCGCTCTGTTGATAATAAAGCACTTATCCTATCCTATCCTATCCTATAAATTTATTTAGGACGTCAAAGAACTCAAGCACTGTTCGTCTTTTCACCCCAGGTTCGATACTCTGCGACATGATGAAGTTTATTCTAAATTTAATAGAGTTTGACATGTATGAGGAGACCCCACTGCCAGCTTTTGCGTCGTGCTTGTAACAGCTGAATATTCAAGGCTAAAATCACTTTTTTTCCGGTAAAACTCCGCGCCTTTCCCGCGCCCCTTTTGTCCAATCAATGTTGGCTCGGTCACTCAGCAAAACAAGATGGCGTCCGTAGAAGACGAAGCCGGAGCGGGAACATCCAAGTTGAGCATCGAGGAAAGATTGGAGACAGGAATGGCATTGAAAGAGAAAGGAAACGAGTATTTTAAGAAACAGGAGTACAGAAATGCAATGAAAAATTACCACAAAGCGTTGCTGTACGTGAAAGGTATCATTGATCGACCAAATCTGCCAGGTTTAGAAGCGTCGGAAGAAGACGTTTCTGACGAAGCGAAAAATAGCATTCACAAAGTACAGTTCAGTTGTTACAACAATTTAGCAGGTAAGATAAGTATTTTATAGTTTGCATAGAAGACATTTTTGTTTCATGGGGAATTGACGTAAATTTTGTGATTCGCCAAAACCATTCTTCTGTTTCACAGCTGTTTTAATGCATAGTAATATTTTTAAAATGGTTCCAGCTTGCTTATTGAAAGATGGTCGGTGGGATCGAACGGAGCATTATTGTACCGAGGTAAGATTATAATAGAAGGAGCATTTAAAATTTCATGGTAATTTCCTCAGAAACTTTTGTAAGAGTGATCTAAACTAAAACATACATATGAAATTTACACATTCATCATTTCAAACCACAAGCTTTAATACATTGGGCTATTGCAACTAATATCCGACACCCCCTGCCCCCCCCCCGGTTGAGGTTCAGTGGAATTCTTCAGGGGTAAGTTAATTATTTAGAGGTAAGTTATCACCTGGGGTAGGGGGAGGGGGTACGGATATGAAATACAATAGCCCATTTTTGTGAGGATTGAATTTTTTATCTGCCAGAATCCTCCCCCCATTTATAGTCTCCCATCCCATTACTTCTCCCCTGCCTCCCCTCACCAAAAGATGCCAGGTTTTCAAAGGGTTTTCAGTTTTTATATTTTGACCCTTTGGATTTTTAGTTTGAGGTACTAACTAAAATATAACGGCTCAAGAACACCAAAATGTTTTAGAGTACTTAGGATTTTAGAGTACTGTTGATTTGTTTTATTAAGCAGAGGTATTACTGTCACTTTTTAATTTTCTGCAATACTCCAAGTAAATTGCTAATGATAAGAAGTGACTTAAGGCATAATTGCAGAAAATTATCATACTGACCTCGTCGGCCTGTTTTGGCCTCTGTATAGCAATAAAGTTAAAGTGAACAGATTTTCTCAATGTATCCCAGACCAACCCAAGCAGTGAGAATGCTTATGACCTCATGTTTGGATTTGTTCTCCGGAGTTCAAATCCTTGTCCACGCTTGTAAATAGCTAACTGGTTGCCTCCTGCCAGTTGGGGTTTTTAATCCTGTTATGTTCTATTTGCATTATTTGTTTACAGAATTATTTGCGCAGAGTGCCTGTAAACTAGCTGGTTAAGCTTAGTGCACTTTCCACTTTAAAAAAACCTTTATTCATTTTTTCATTTTATTTTTTATGCTTCAATCTACCCACAAAATGGCTAACCTTACTCAGAATGAAATATGTGCTGTGCTCTATTCGAAAAGGCAATAAAAACAAAATGATGGAGAAAAAATGGCTGTGTGAAATTTTGCACATAGCCGGTGTATTAAACTCTAAAAACCCAATACAAATACAAACTGAAACTTTCATTAAACATGTATTGCCGGCGAAGGTGAGGGCATTACATGTGTGCCAACGTGTCAACAAGATCAAGAACGCGACATCCATTATACAACAATCAATAAATACGACATTACCTAAGGAGTCTGGACACCATCTTGAATTCAAAATTCAAATCAGTTCCCTCGATTCCATGTTCCTAGCCTCTTTCCCTGATGAAAAAATGTTTGTGTGTCAATGAGATCAAGAATGTGACATCCATTATACAACGATCAATAAATACGACATTACCTAAAGACGCCTTCTTGAATTCAAAATTCAAATCAGTACCCTCGATTCCATTTTCCTAGCCTCTTTCCACATTACTGTTCTCATAAACTATGTAAGGCTAAATTGTTGCATAAAATTTTATTTGAAGACAAATAATGCATTTATTTTATCCGCAAAATCTGGAACATTCAGGAAGCTGAAAATAAAATTCTTGAATGTCTGCATGGGTGTTTACTTTGTCTGTTGCAGTATCTCAGCTCATTACGTTCCTCAATTTATAGGCCTTAAAACTTCAACCCCAAAATGCCAAAGCTTTATTCAGAAGAGGGCAGTCATACTTCTACTTGAAGGACTTTGAAAAGGCTGAAAGAGACTTGAAAGCTGCCGAAAAGTTGGAGCCCAAAGGTTTGTTATCATTGACTAGGAATAATACAGCTGTCTCTCTTTGCTAATCACCACTAGGAACATTTTGCAGGAGAGATGTCTGCGATTTGGCCCCCCAAAAATGATACTGATAAGGCAGATCCCAAAAGAATATTTCATAAATTTTAAGGTACATTGTACTTACCTCTGAAGCGTGTCAAGCTTGTTTACTGTACATGTTATTGCAAAAGAACAAAAGTTTTTGTTCATCCTTGCCCAGTTGTTTTTTCTAGGTCTGTTCAGTTGTTGATTCATTTATTCACTAATGGTAAAAAATGATCACTCTTGACAAAGTGACAAACTTAAATGCTAATGCATAAACTCTAAAATGTTTGACATTATTGTGAATCTAAGAACCATTGGTGCTTCATACGAAACATGTCTTGAGAAATTGTATAATTTATCGTCTAAAAGACCTTCTCTGCCATATAATGAGACCTCCTGGTGAATGGGCTTTAAAATTTCTCAATTATTTTTGCACCCTTTCTAAAAACCATGTTGGGATTTCAATTCATTATCTTTTTATTATTATTAAAAGTAGTGTTTCGGTTTCCTTGCTAGATTCAAGTATAAAGAAAATGCTGGCTCTCCTTGAAGTAGAATTGAAGAAGATTAAAGAAAAGGAGAAAAAGATTTATGCAGGAATGTTTGAGAGACATTCCCAGAAAGAGTAACATTTTTGCTTGTGCAAATTATTTATTGTTATAGTTTTTGGTTGAAGATACATAGCATTCTAATGGTATAATTTTATAAGAAATTGAAGCAATATTCATTTCGTATCACTTATACACATTCATGCATGCCATTTTCAGTGCAAATTTCTTGGTATTTTAATTTGCTGCTGATTAGAAACCTAAGTTAATGGTATCTACTAAATATTTTTATATTTATGTCAAATAAACATTATATTTTCACTAAGACAAACTGTCTGTTTGAATGTGAAAAGGGAAAACATGGCTGTCATTAGGAACCAGGGCTGGAGATTTTCCCTGGCTACTATGAGCATGACTTCCAGCTACTTTAATAGA